AGATCCTGCCAGCTACTCCCTCAGTTCTCTCCCCAACACCTCTGTTGCCAGGCTTTCCTCAGGTGTCTCTAGACCACTCTGCATCCCCTTTAGCCAGGGACCTACTCTCTGTGACTGCTGCTCTGTACTCAGCACCTGGGCCTGCACAACACCTGGCTGGGAACAAGCCTCCTGGTGACATGGCTATTGTGTCTTTCATGCTGCTGCCACTTGGAGGAATGGTCTGCCTGCACCAGATGGCTGCTGTCCTATGGGAGAGGAGTCTGCACTGGGATCTCCTCACACTGCTACTGATAGGGGAGTGGTCTTCCTGGGCAAGCTGGCAGCTGTGGAATGGGGGTGAGTCATCACTGGGACCCCACTGTCCACATTCTTAATTCTCTCCCTAAAGCCTCCCTCCCGAATCTCTCCTCAGGCAGCTCCAGCCCACTCTGCCCCTACCCTGGCCGGAGCCCAGGGGAAGTGGCTGCCCTGGGCACTACGCACTAGGAATGTTTGCGTTGGCCCTTTAAACGGCTCTTTGTGTATCCAGCTACCTGCCTTTGGCAGAGAGCACCCTACCACTTCTCACAGCTGGCTGTTGTCTGTGTGCTTTTTGGCCTCTGGTGCTGTAGGCTAGAGATCCCAGCTTATGGTTTATACCCCACTCTTCTTAGCGGGATCCAAGTGGCCATTTCAATATCCCTCTGGCGCTGCCACCTGTGGGTGCCCAGTCCACCTTCTTGAGCCTCTACCACCCCCCTAACCAGTTAGGTTATGCTAAAGTCGATTCCTCTGTCTGAGGTTTTAAGGCTCCTCTCTCACTATTGTTCAGTTGTTTGTCCCAGGTGATTTCTCCACAATTTAGTTGTAATTCCAGATCGGTCCTGGGAGGACGTCAGTGTGACTTCCACTTACTCCACCATCTTGAAGTCTTCTACTCCTAAGTATTTTTTGATGTTATGGTAAATGGAATTGCTCTTCTTAATTTCATTTTTGAATAGTTTATAGCAAATGTATAAAAATAAACTTAGTTGTTGTATATTGCTCTTGTATCCTCCTCCATCCTTGATGAACTTGTTTATTAGTTTTAATAGTTCTCTAGTGAATTGCTTAGGAGTTTCTATATGTAATGTCATGTCATCTGCAAATAGAGATAATTTTACTTCTTCTTTTCTGATTTGTATGCTATTTATTTCTTTTTCTTGTCTAATTGCCCTGGCTAGAGACTCCAGTACAATATTAACAGAGGTGGGAGCAAACATTCTGGTCTTGTACCTGATCTTAGGGGAAATCTATCCAATTTTTCACCATTAAGAATAATGTTAGCTGTGGTTTCTGCATAGATGACCTTTCTCAGGGTAAGGATGTCCCCTTATATTCCTAGCTTATTGAGTAAAATTGCTGAAATTTAAAAGACTGACACTATCAACAATTGCCATAGATGTGGAACAACTGACACTCTCATCATCTCCTAAAGAGGATATAAATTAATATCACCTCTTTTGAGAGCTGGTATTATTTACTAATGTTGAACACATGCATGTTTTAATGCACTAGTTTTACTTCAAGGCATGCCATCAATTCCTTCCTTAAGGAGTTGCAGCAATGTGAATGAATGGTTAAAAACAAACTTTCGAAGGAAACTCCCTCATGGCAGTAAATTTGAGAAATGAAAAAGTGCTGTGAACCAGTGCTAGGTACATTATGCCTGGCTCTCAAAAAAATTACAAAGTGGAAAAACACAATTTTAAGAGACAGAGGAAGCATCAATATCAGACATGGAAGGGATACTGGAATTGCCAGACTGGGAATTTAAAACAATATGACTAATAAGGGCCCTAATGGGAAAAGTAGACAACATGTAAAAACAGATGAGCAATGTAAACTGAGATAGAAATCCTATGAAAAAAATTAAAAAACATTAGAAATAATAAAAAATCTATAACAGAAATGATGAATGTCTTTGATGGGCTTATTGGTAGACTGGACACAGCTGAGGAAAGAATCTCTGAGCTTGAGGATATATCAACAGAATCCTCAAAAACTGAAAAGCAAAGATAGCAAAGGTTGAAAAAACAAACAAACAGAATATCCAACTACTATGGCAAAACAACAAAAAGTATAACATGTGGAATGGGAATACAAAAAGGAGAAGAAAGAGAGAAAGGAACAGAAGAACCATGTAAAACAATCAGACAGAATTTTCCAAATTAAAAAAACAAACAAACAATACAGGCAAGGAAACATGGAGCACACTGAAAGTGACCAGAGGGGATGAGGAAAGAGGACAATGGTGTAAAGAAGGGAAAGGGACTAGACAAAGAACATGTATGAATGACCCATGGACATGGACAACAGAGTGGGAATTGACTGTGGGAATGGGGGGTGGAGGTGGGATGGGTGGAGGTGGGTAAAGGGGGGAAAATTGAGACAACTGTAATAGAATAAACATGATTTATAAATTAAAAAAGAGAAATATCCCATGTTCATGGGTATGAATATGTGGGCTCAATATTGTCAATATGTCAATTCTTCCTAATTTGATCTTTGGATTCGATGCAAACTCAATCAAACTGATTCTAAAGTTTATATGGAGAGGCAAAATGTCCATAATAGTCAAAACAATGTTGAAGGAGAATAACAAAGTTGGACTATCAGTACCCTACTTCATGACTTAAAGTAAAGCAACAGTAAATCAAGACAGTATGGTATTAGCAAAAATTAGACAAATAGATAAATGGATCAGAATAGAGAGCCCAGAAATAAACCCACATAAATATAATCTTTGACAAAGAAGCAGAGACAATACAATGGAGCAAAGATAGCCTTTTCAACAAATAGTGCTGTAACAACTGGACACCCACATACAAAAAAAATGAACCTAGACATAAAGCTTACATCCTTTGCAAAAATTAACTCAAAGTGGATCACAGACCTAAATGTAGAATGTAAAACCCTAAAACTCGTAGAAGATATCATAATAGAAAATGTAGATATACTTGTAGACAATCACCTTTTAGATACAACACCAATAAGCTAGACTTTATTAAAATTAAAACTTATTGCCCTGGATGGTGTGACTCAGTGGACTGAGTGCCAGCCTGTGAACCAAAGGGTCCCCAGTTTGATTCCCAGTCCAGGCAACATGCCTGGGTTGTGGGCCAGTACACCTGGTGGGGGTGCATGAGAGGCAACCACACATTGATGTTTCTCTTCTCTCTCCTTCCCTTCCTCTCTCTCTAAAAATAAATAAAATCTAAAAAAGAAAAACAAAACAAAAACCCAAACAACTTATGCTCTGCAAAGACAATGTTAAGAGACTGAAAGTACAAGCCACAGACCAGGAGAAAATAACTGTAAAAGACACATCTGATAAAGGACTATTATACCAAATATACAAATAACTCTTAAAACTTAACAATAAGAAAAAACAACCCAATGAAAAACTGGGAAAAGACTTTAATAGATCTCACCAAAGAAAGGGGGCAAATAAACACATGAAAAGGTGATCTACAGATATCATCAAGGAAAGGCAAATTTCCTATTAGAAAGCCAAAATCTAGAAAACTGACAAAACCAAATGGTGTTGAGATGTAGAGCTAAAGGAACTCTCATTCATGGCTGGTGGAAATGTATTCTAGAGAAGTGCAAGTATCTACCTTCTCCTCAGGGTCTGTCCAGGGTTAGGAGGGAGCTTCCAGGGGTGCAGGCACCGGAGTATGCTAACCCTCTTGTAATTCCAGCCCAACTCTGTCTGGCAAGATAACAGTTGCCAAATACTAGACACTATGACTTCCATTCCTAGGCTCCACCTGGCCTGAAATGCCTTTCTTCTTCCCTATCTGCAAATATAGCTTAATGGTTTGGAGTAGAGTTCTGAAGTCTGGTTTCAAGGGCAGATCCTAACTCCTCTGTTCACTTGCTGAGTGACTTTGGACAAAGCCCTCCTCCATCCGTTGGAGCCTCAAATGGACAGTACGCTCATAAAAGCACCTATCTACCACATGGGGTTATAATCCACTAAGATGATGAATGGCAAATGCTCGGTGCAGTACCTGGTGTAGTAGAATCAATAACCTGTCCTTGCTGGCTATTGTGGTGGTTATCATTATTAATTTCATTTTTAGCTTTGGTTTATTCCCCCTCCTTCATAAAATCTTATATAACCACTCCTGGTCAAAATAATTTCTCTCTTTTCCTTGAATTGTCAAAAGAATTTACTTTTCCTATCATTGATTTGGCAGCTAATATTTACTGACCTGTATCCTGGGTTACCTTTCTGTGTATATATTGTTTCATTTCCTCCCCTCAAGTATAAGATTTTTAAAGAAAAGACCTAAGTTTAAGTTGTATTATGTATTTTGGCTTTTTATATGACTGAGACCTTTACATCTTGTCCTTGGAACACCACCCTCACCCCCTTCATTTAAAGGTGAAGGTTAGCTGAGTTCGTTAACCTAAGAGAAAATTGTCCACTTAAAGCAATGGATAGCCTGGTATACTGGGGGTGGGAAAGAAAGTAGAAGGCAGGTTGGGAGAGAAGATTCCAGGTATAGAATTAAAGGAAAAATGTTTTTGTTTTTGTTTTTTAAATAATAACTATCTTCTTTCATCTTTGGCCTTCCAGCAGATTGCAATAATTTAAGCGGGGGGGGGGGGGGAAGGGAGTCCTGCCATCGTTTGTCTCCATTCTCCCTGCCCCTTCTTTCCCAGGCAGAACGACAGAAACAGCACATAGCGGAGCTGGTGGGGAGGAGAGCAGATGGGATGCCAAAACTCCTTGCAAGGACAGTAACTACAGCTAATTACAGGAACTGAGAAAGTGGAACCAAGAATACTAACTTCCAGTCCACCACCTCAATTCCAATGCCGGGGAACCGGTGGCTGGAGGGGACTCAGCTCGCCCACTACTGGTCGGGGAGGGGAGTGTGAAACTCGCCTAGCTCCGCCCCAGAAACTGGGCGGTGACCACTAGGCGGCACCGCAGGGCCGCGAGAGCTCTTACTGGGCGCAGCCTGAAGAGCAGGGATAGAGGTTCACCTCTTGTTAGAAGGCTGACTGCAAGATGAGCTCCGCGCCAGTGTTTTTGAGCGCAGAGGAAGTTCAGGGCCACCTCCGCAGCTCCAGCCTCCTCATCCCGCCTCTGGAGGCCGCTCTGGCCAACTTCTCCAGCGGACCGGAAGGAGGGGTCATGCAACCCGTGCGCACCGTGGTACCGGTGGTAAAGCACAGAGGGTGAGTAGGGAAGGCCAGGGCTGGGGGCTGCAGACCCTGGTAAGGAGGAAGAGTACAGGTACAAATCGAAGCAGAGGGAGAAAAGGAGGGGTTGCCTAATCTCTGCTAATGACAGCAGCCACCTAACACGTGTGCTCCCCAAAGTGCCAAGTGCGCGCTTTACAGGAGTTACCGTGTTTTAATTTAACACCCTCTCCTTACAGGTAGGTATTCATTGCAGTCATTTTACTGGGGGGAAAACCGAGACTCAGAGAGGTTAAGTGAAGTACCCAAGGTTGTCCAGCTAATAAGTGGCAGAACTGGGATGGTTTTTCTCATCCAGATCTGGACTCTTGAACTTGCTGTGCATACTGCCAAAGGGAAGGGCAGAGGAAAGGGGGAGGGAGAGGACTAGTACAGCAGTGATAAGGAAAGAGAAGGGAAGGTACGTGGGGCCAGCATTGGTGGGAGAGGTTGAAGCTGTTTTCTCATTCCTTGTAGTTTCCTGGGGGTCATGCCTGCCTACAGTGCTGCAGAGGACGCTTTGACCACCAAGTTGGTCACCTTCTATGAGGGCCACAGCACCACCTCCACTATCCCCTCCCACCAAGCCACCGTGCTACTCTTTGAGCCAAGCAATGGCTCCCTTCTGGCGGTGAGCAATTCCCTGACCTGGGGTGGAGTGGGGCCCCTGGTCTAGAGCAAGGCTGGGAATTAGTTCTCCATGAGCCCAGGGGAGTTTTGATTATGACCACACATGCCCCCCTCTAAGTGACTGGGTAGCAATGGCAGTGAAGGTTACCTGTAACCATGAAATCTGTTAGGAGATCCATAACCCAGACCCAGAGCCCACTGCTGCTTCAAGTGTGTGACATTGTAGAGGTAATCTTGGTTCTCTCTGGTCCTATACCAGTTACTGCAAATATACAACTTGAACAAAGCCAGTAGCCAAGGAAATATTTAGTGAATCTTCGTAACATGGAGGAAAAGTGGTATCTGTAACCCTGGGAGTCTTTTCTGAGGGGCCGCAGTGACCTGTTTTAACATTTGAAAGTATAAGAAAATAGTGATAGTTCACTTTTATTGAGCACTTTGAGTGTGTCAGGCATTCTAAACACTTCACATGTATTAACTCTTTAATACTTACAACCATTCTGAGGTAAGTAATATTATTGCCCCCATTTTTCAGATCATGAAACTGAGTCATAAAACCAGTATGCCCAATTTACTTACCCAAGCTTAGGCAGTTAATAAGAGGCTGGCTGGCCTTCAGACCTAACTCAGTGTAAGTCCAGAGCTTGTACTCTCTTAACACTATGCTTTATTGCCTTTCTAACTGCCACCTGCTGAGAGTACTTACTGTGTGCCAAGCAGAAGAAATCCATCTCATTAAATTCTGACACCATCCCTCCCTGGAAGTTTCTTATTCCATCCCTACCCAATTTCTGTTGCAGTCCCACAGTTACTTTGTTTGACGTCACACAGCTGGTTAGTGAAAGACACAGGAATGTCTATGCTCTGTGCTCTCCAGGCTGACTGATACCAGGCAGCTGAGAATTCATCAGTGACAAGGACAATCACAATTTCACCTGAACCACCCCTGGGTGCTTAGCTCTTCCTGCTCCCTAAGGAACCTAACTGTGCCTTACTCCTCTGGGAAGAGTATCTGGCTCTTCCCACCTATATTCACCACATAGAGATGACATCCATCAGTGGTTTCCCAGGAAAGTGGGACCAGCTCAGACTTTCCAGGTAAATGACAAGGCCTTAGAGCTTTCCTGAGTCTGCCCAGTAGTAAGGGACTCATTTTCCTGTCTTCCAAACAAGAATACTATTATCACCCAGTGAGGATCAAGATGAATAACTTATAAACAGAGGAGAATAGCCAAGCATAATTCAGAATCACCTGAGGAGCTTCTCAAAAAAAGGATGTCTGCCTACCTTCCCAGAGAGTAAGATTCAGTTCATCAAAGGGTCGTATCTAAGTATCTGTATCTTCATAAATTTCCCAGCATGTGCAGCAGGAAGAGTTGAGAGCCATGAGGTAGAATTTCATGGTCCTTGCACAGATGTCAAATGATTTATTCCTCAGGTTCCTCCTGAATTTGGTGTTTTGAGAATCCCAGGGCAAGAAAAGAAAATGGGTGATTCTTGAGGGCTCACCATGGGCTAGGTATTTTTATGTATGCAAATGCATTTAATCCTTACAAAAGCCTCTGAATGGTTGGCATTTTCTTTGTTTTTACAAATGAGGAAAATAGTGCTTAGATATTAAGATATTGGTTCAAAGTTGCATTTCTTGTAAGTGGAGAAATTGGATCCAAGTCTGACACCAAGCTGGTGCTCTTTGTAAGATACAACAATACTTCCGAGGACTACTCTTTTAGAGCACCTTTTCTTCACTCAAGTAGTTGATAAGGGTGCTCCTTGCTCACTGTCTTTTTTTCCAAGGTCATGGATGGAAATGTTATAACTGCAAAGAGAACAGCTGCAGTATCTGCCATTGCCACCAAGGTAAGATTAATGCTTGGCTGTGTTGTTGAGGTGAGCTGGTGGGTTGGCTTGGGTGTCTGAAGCTTGAATGTCTAAGGGAGAGGTAGGAAACTTATTTTGGCCTTCCTTTGGAGAGCTGGAACTCCATATGCCAAATGTAGGATGTCAGGTGAACACAGTATTTCATGAATTTATTAGCTACCATTTATTGAGCATGGCCAGATTCCAGGTACCTTACATGCATTATCCCTGATCTTCACCTTAATCTTGCAAAGTAGACGTCATTATCTATAGTTGCCAGGAATAGGGAATGTGGTTCAGAGAGGGTATGTGAGTTGCTTAGCATCACACAGCTACTAAGTGGCAGAGCGAGAATTTAAAAGTTGGCCCCTTTGACTCCCAAGACTGCTATTTGCCCCTGTACCACACAGTTTGTGGTAAATCTATGGTTGCCCTATAGCCTAGAGCCAGTATGGAACAATGAACAGATAGAGAGCCAAACAGATCCAAGCTAGACTCCTATGGTCATTCAGCTGGTATTCACTGAGACCCTGCCACGTGGCGGGCCCTGCTGGGGATGTGACAGTGAAAAAAAACAGAGAGTGGCACATACAGGGAGGTTAAACCATAAACAAAAAATAAAACACATAGTATAATTTGCTAAAAAGATAATTAACAAACAAGGAACCTCTTTTGAGCTTAACAATATGTCAGGATTTGATTTAAAAATTAAAAAAACACTGCCACCAGCAACAAAAATAAATAGTATTTTAGAAGGATGAAAATAAAGCAAAATCAAGAGTACTGGGAAGAGGTGACATTTTAAATTACCCCCCCCGAAAAAAAACTTCCCTGAGAAGGTAACATTTAAGTAAAGACTGAAGGAAGTGAGTGAGTAGAATGGGGAGGAAAGGAGGCGCTCCCCAGGCAGAAGGAAATGATGGGATGCTGCTGCTCCTAAGCAGCATCAGGGCACCCTACAACAGTATTTTTAGAGGTTAGAAGAGTTTTAGAGCTAAGAAGAGGACACCTAGAAAACTGAGTGTGGGAAATATTGGAATCTGGAATCTTTTGCATTAAATGGAGAAGGACAAGCTCTGGGAACACTGATTTATGAGATGTAAATATGAAGGAAATACAGTCTAACAGAGGGTGAGACCAGCAAAGACCAGGTGTTCAGATTGTGAGTGCGTTAATAGGGAGGAAAGGTGAGGATTAATCTGGTAATTGGATAAGAAGGAGTAGACTAGGTATGCACCTTGAGGAACTGGTTTTTAAAAATTATATCCAGACACAAATCAAATTAAAATGATTAATGGGCTCCTTTAGAAATGTTCGTTGGTAACTTAGAAACAGAGTGAATCTAACAACACTGCCTTACACTGGTAAATGGCTCTGGTCCATTTCAAAATAATGTCCAACCTGTTGTCTCAACTTATCTTTGAATTTCAGTGAGGAAGGCAGAGCAAGTATTATTGACCTCATTTAATGCACAAGGAAATGGAGACTAGGGTTTCCTAAAGTCACATGCCAGGTAGCTCTGTCCCAGGTCAGTAACTTCCAACCCAAGTAAACAGCGGTGTCAGCTGGGAAGTTTAAAAGAAAAGAAAAATTCAGGTTCCCAAAACCCTGAATCAGAGTCACTGGAGGTAGAGCCCAAGACCCTAGTTTTTTTAAAATAGTCTCTGGTCTATTCTAATGATCAACCAGGTATGGGCACCAAAATAGTCTAGACCCACCCATTGGTTCCACTGTGCTTTGTTCAATCGACAAAAACCTGCACTCCTAGAAGAGCTGAGAATCACTGGATTGATGGTTCAGAGTGTAGGCTGACACTCCACAGCTCTGTTTCCAGGGGCTCAGGTAGGTTATTCTATAAGGAGCAAAGGGTCTGTTTTACTTTTTGCTCTGTAAGACTAGAATGTTTTCTTTTTTCACCTCTTCTCTTTTATTTAGGGTTTTTGGGAGAAGTAAAGGAAGTTCTCAGGTCTGACAGACACTGTACTTCCTCTGCATTTGGGTTAAATAGAACCTGAGTGGGAGACTCTGACATGCTTCCTCAAGGTGACACTACATATCAGGGTTTATCCTTGGCATGCATTTATTCAACAAATATTTGAGTGCCCGCCAGGTGCCAGGCTCTGTGCTCAGACACAGAATGGTAACAGAATGGTGAGTAAAACCAGATACAGTGCCTGCCAGTAGAGAGCACCAAGTCCATTTAGAGAGACAAATATTAATCCAAAGATCACACCAATTGTGAAACTACAACCCTGCCAAACACATTGAATAAAAGGAATGAAGTGCCATGAGAGTGTAAAACAGAGGTCTAGAGAAGGCTTTTCCTGTGTAAGGGATACCTGAGCTGGTATTTGGAAGAAGTAGGAATTAGTCATTCAGGGGCAGAGGGGAAAGTATATCAGGCAGACGAAACAGTCTCTGCAAAGGTCCTGTGTTTGACAGAGGTACATGTGCTTGGGAAACTGCAAGGAGTCTATTTTGGCTGGAGAACAGGAGCGCAAGGCATGAGAGGGGGCCGGAGAGATAGGAGGGCCAGACTGCGAATGCAAATGAAACACAGACTTTCCAACTCTTTGTTTAAGTGAGAAACCTAACAAATTCATATTTTTTTTTAACTCTCTGCATGCTTACAGAAAAAGAATGAAGTGCCTCTAATCCTGTTATGATTTAATAAATCTTATAAACATTATACTGTTTACAAAAAAAGATATCAAATATTATATCACTACTAAGGCACCAAATTATCAAGTAAGGCAACCCATCAAAATTGTATTTGAACAAAAAAAATAAATAAAAAAACACCAAGAAAATATCAGTCAAAAGAAAGCTGGTATAACTATATTAATTACAATCAAAATAGAGTTTAAGGAATAAAATAAAGTGTTTCTCTGAAAAATTAAAAAGAATTAGAGACAAATGTATTTAAAAAGTAAATAAATTAATTAAAAAAATAAAAATAAAAAATAAAAATAAATAAATAAATAAATAAAAAGAAGTTTTAGGAATAAAAAAAAATTAGACATTTAAGAGGTTGAAGGTTGTTTTTACAGAACACTGTAACAATTTTTAAAGCCGGGGTGCATACTTCCAAGAATAGACTGATATTAACTGAGAACAGGAAACAATTAGTTTAAGGAAAAATCTCCTAGTTTTCCTTATTGAACAGATGTATAAGAGAGTGCTAGTCTTATGGATATTGTCATTTTGAAACCTCTTCAAAGCAGATTCTGTGAATTATAGTTTATGTCACAGGATGATATTTCTCCTGAAGCTATCAGAGAGATGAACACCTGGTAATACTTCTGAGACTCTTTTTTGCCAATAATTAATGATTAAGAAGACTTCTACTTTTAAGACTACACTTCAGAATTTCAATAATTAGCATTGTAGGAAAGAGCAGACCCAAGGAGCTGTAATTTTGCTAAATAAAACAGAGAAAAGGCAGAACAAGGTCTAACTTTAAAAAATGGTCCGGGGGAGAGATTAGGGGAAAAATGGGGGCAACTGTAATTGAACAACAATAAAAAAAAGAATATTACAATTGTCATTTCTGAGTAAATGAGGCAGGCAACTTAAAAACAATGATTAAAAGTGCGATTGATGTCCTTCCTCTATGCCAGTAGTTCTCAATTGAGGACAAGTTTGCACCTGTCCCAGGGACATTTAGCAATCTGGAGACATTTTTGGTTGTCACAACTGAGGAAGAATGGATAGGAGGTGCTACCAGCATCTAATGGATAGAGAGGCCAGGGACACTGCTAAATATCTTGTAATGCACAGGACAGCCCACCACTCACCTCCTGCCAACAAAGAGTTATCAAGCCCAGTAATCCTGAGGTCAAGAAACCCTGCTCTGTTTCTCATAGGTAATAGTATATATGTGCCAAATGTATGCAAATAAGACAGTTCCTGTCCTCATGGGGCCTATAGATCAGTATAGGAGAATAAAACTGTAAACAAATAAGTGCTGTGAAGTGGTGAATCCTGTTAAGGAGGTCAGGACTTCCCTGATATGGCACAATATGTGTTGATGATAGAACCCCACTCCCTAATGCAGACACACATAAACTCTCAGTTGGTGCCATAAATGCCAGCTCTACATTCCTCTTTAAAGGAAGATAGAGGCTGATAAAGGATAAACAAGGAGGGTCTCACAAATACAGCTGAGAACCCTGGGTCTCAAGGGCACCTGGATTCCAGGGCTTTGAGAAGTGTGTGTGTCTTAGCATGTCCCTACCATGGGGCAGGACAGGAGGAAGAATGTGGGCTTTGGAGAATGAAAGTTGTGGTTTTATAGCCCTGCTGCATCGTGGGGTAGTTGTAGGGCCCTGAGCAAGTTACTTAACCTCTTTGGATCTCAGTTCCTTCATCGGTAAGAGGAAGATAGACATATGAGTGTCCAATAGAGATTATGCACATAAAGCATTGGCATATATTTGGTGCTCAATGAAAGCATCTTCCTTCCCTCCCTACTCTCCCAAGAGGAATGGAAATGCAAAATGACATCTCCCTGATTTCCCAAGAGATTGTTAAAAATATATTTGTCATCTAACTGTAAATTTAAGGGATACATGTTAATTTAATATATTTATAGATTGTAACATGGTTGCCATTATAATGATTATTAGCACCTCTATCATTTATATAATTATCCTTTCTTTTTAGTGGTTAGAATAATTAAGTTCTAATTTCTTAGCAAGTTTGCTTATTATAATATAATGTTGTCTATCTTCACTATACTGTACATTAAATCTCTAGGGCTTAATCTAAAAAAAGCCTAACTCATGAAAACAGAGTTAAATGATGGTTACCAAGGGATAGGGGTGGGGAGATAGAACAGATGTTGCCCCAGAGTTCTTGAGGGAGCTGAAGATAGGGCAGGAGTCACCTAATACACAAACTATATTTGTTCTTACTGGACTGCTAGTGTCTCCCTTGATCTTTTCCATCTCATTTCTTTCAAATAGTTTTTGAAACCGCCCAACTGTGAAGTGCTGTGTATCCTTGGGGCTGGGGTCCAGGCCTACAGCCATTATGAGGTCTTCACAGAGCAGTTCTCCTTCAAGGAGGTAAGTTTAGTGGGGGCTGGGAAGCAGGAGGCAGGGGAGCCACCATGACCTGTTTCTCTGTTCTGTCCCTACAACATGGATTATGCTGAAATAGGTGGAGAGTCCCATCTAGACCATTCTTTTTATTTAAATCCTCACCTGAGGATATGTTTATTGATTTAGAGAAAGAAGAAGGGAGAGGGAGGCATCGATGTGAGAGACATACATTGATCAGTTGCCTCTTGTACTCTCCCTGACCAGGGATTGAACCTGCAATCTTTTGGTCTATGGGACAACGCTCCCAACAACTGAGCCACCTGGCTGAAGCAAGACCATTCTTTTAATGACTTGCCCAGAAGTCCCAATCTAGATAAAGAGTTGGGGGAAGGCCTGAATCACCTCTTTTCAGTTTCTCAGTTACAGGGTTTACCTGATGATACAGCCAGCCTACTCAATTAAAGGATCCTATTATATCTATTATATAGTACACTCACTTGTCCTTTTGGCCCCTCTCTCTGCTTCTCTTAGGAGAATCTGGGAGTCTGTAAGTATTCAGAGTTATGGATCCGGGAACTGGGAATGAGGCCTAGAGAGCAGGAGGCTATGGCATTCCCCTTTTCCAGCCCAGATATGCGCCCCCCTTTCCCTAGTTGTGGCTCACACTTCCTACTGGAAACATTTGATTCTGCTTTTATTTTATTTTTTGTATATATGTGAGAGGGCTGGAGCAGAATTGAACTATGATTTTTTTTTTTAGGATAAAAATTGTACTTCTGCTCTGGGAAATGGGGACTATATGGAAGAAAACAAAAGAAAAATGTCCTTTTATCTATTTTCAAAAATAACAAGTTCACATTTTCAATGTTTTCTTGCCAACTTTTTATAACATAGTTTTAATCATGTTAGATATACAGAGTTATGTATCCTCTCTTTTTGTTGAATGTTCTAACATCATTACTTTTACAGATTCCTTAATTTTTATATAATATTTACATAACTTTCAATCAAGAAGGGTGGTATGGTTAACCATTCTCTTATGACTGGGCACATTGTACTGTTTTTCACCTTGGTTGGTGAACTTATTTAGACATACTGTTTATTTTTATATTTATTATGTTTCCTTAGGAGAGATTGTTTATGTCTTATTTTCAGTTGAAGGCTGACAACCCCCTCCCCAAACATGGATATCTGCTAAGCTAGCGATCAAGTCCCCACCTCCAGAATTTTAATTGTAGTTACTACTCTTGGCCTTGTCATGTGCAACACCACTTACTTCTCAAACCCTTCTAATCTTTAATTTCCTATATACCCTTCAGGGATCAAGTTATTCCATGCAAAACACTACCATAGATAAGCCCATACCTGCTATGACTCCTTCACAGGGTCCAAAACTTAAAGTGTGAGTTTCGTGTTGACTTTGCCCAATTATCATTCACATTTTACAGACATGAAAACTTAGGCTGGATAAGGTTAAGTAACTCCAGGGTCAGTAAGTGAGAGAGCAAGGATTGATTCTAACCCTATCTGGATCCAGAACTTGCTTTGCTAATTATTGGGCTATGTAGTAGCTATTAAATTCATGTGCTATATGTCCTGCTCTAGAACTAAGAAAATTCTCCCCTTCTTTAAGAAGGAAGGGCTAGAGAAAGGTCATTTTCAAACATAAGGCCAGGTGTCTGCTCAGATTCATGGTGTGTCCTTGATGAAATGTATGTTCTTCCTAGGGGATGATTTAAATAAGCACGGCCCTGACCCCAGAGTGACTCAACTTTCTTTGGTACCCTTAGGCTTGATGAAACATAAATAGCCAAACAATCATGGCCCTAATGTCCCTCTTGTTACCCCAATGAAGGTGAGGATATGGAACCGCACCAAAGAAAATGCCGAGAAGTTTGCGGACGCAGTGCAAGGAGAGGTACAGGTCTATTCATCAGTCCAGGAGGCTGTGACAGGTGCAGATGTGATCATCACAGCCACCATGGCAACAGAGCCCATTTTGTTTGGTGAATGGGTGAAGGCAGGGGCTCACATCAATGGTAAGCAGAGTGGCTTCATGAATCATGGGAAGTTGGTGGCCAATTCGTCCCTAGGCTGGACCAGTAAGCTGCATCTGCAGGGCTGTGTTACTCCTGCAAAATGCCTGAGCTTCTTAAATGCTTGGGAAATATGTGAGCCCTGAAAAACAATAGTCACTGCAAAACAGGAAACAAAAATCGCAAACCTGAAACTGTCAATTTCTATATAATGTAACATCATGGCAAATGGTCAGCCACAGCTCAGTTTTTGAATGTAATGAAGTTTACATGGCAAAAAAAAATGATTACAACACAAAAGACATTTAATGTGCAATGTGATTGCTTTTAAATAAGTGATTGGGTAGGTAGAACTCTAAACCTAAGTGTTCCTAGGGCCTCTGAAGATCCTCAAGTGGCCATTGGGTAATAGAAAGAGCTATTGCAGGTGCTGTTCTAAATTCTTTATGTGCATTATATATAATTTAATCCTTTCAAGATTATTTTCATGACCCTCATTTTACAGATGGATAAGCTAAGGCACAAAAAGATTAAGCCACTTGCCAGTTGGCCCAGTGCCAGTGGTCCTTAGTGGCAGACTGGGATTTGAACAGAGATACTCTACCCTCAGATCCCAAGCTCTTAAATACTATTCTGTATTATCTTTCATTGAGAAGACTGGATTCTGGTAAGTGAGCAGGCAAACACTAGAGGATTTAAGTGTGCTATCTGGGCCCCATGTTTTAATGACAAGCACATGGTGTGAACTCAAAACCTAAGATCTCTGTACACATTGGCAGATGAGCTCGCAAGACCCCAGTGTCATGATTATACATTCATTTACAAATGTTTATTGAATTCCAACTGTGTGCCAGGCACTGCTGTAGATACTGGGGCTATTACAGTAAACCAGCACTCAAGGTCACTGCTTTCCTGGTGCTTATATCCTCTTGAGGGGAGATAGACAACAAAGAAGTAAACAAATAGGTGAAATGGAGAGTTCCATCTAAATGTAAGTTCTATGAAGAGAAACGAAGCATGGCATGTTGAGGAACTGGCCAAAGCAAATTGAAGGTCTGAGCCTGCAGGACTGGAGTTATGGTGGGGTTCAGGGGCAAGGAGGAAGTGGCTTAGCTGATAGGTAAGAGATGGATCAAGTTGGGCTTTAGGGACACTAAGATCATTTCTGAAGGGATTTGGGAAATTAAAAAAACCCAGTTCTTGGTAAGAGCTGAATCTTCAGCAAGACTGACTTGATTTTTTTTTTCAGCTAAAAACAGCACGTTTATTATCTCATAATTCTGACTCAGGAGTCTGAGTATGGCTTAGCTGGGTCCTCTGCTCACCAAGGATGAAACCAAGGTGTTGTCCAAGTTACAGTCTCTTATGGAGTGTGGAGCCCTCTTCCAGGCTCACATGGTTGTGGCAGGTTCCTTATGCTGTAGGATTAAGGTACCCATTTCCTTGGGCACCTCTATGCTCCTAGAAGCAAGCTCCAAATTCCATACCATGTAGATACTCCATCTTCAAAGCCAGATAGTGGTAGAACCTCACTCACATCATATCCCTCTCACATTTTGAATCTCCCCCCATGAAAAGCCAACTTGATTTTGAGTCAAGAAGTCTCTTATATTTTCCTGGCCTTAAGGACAAAATTCGTTTATGTGTTCACAGAGGTGTCCAATATATTTAAGAAAAGTGCATTATAAGTGCAGCTGACAGGGAAATACCAACACAACAGATATGACTTATTTTATAGCCTGGCTGAGAGGAAGGCTCAGTTCCAGCCCTCCCCTGCTTCTTCCTCATCCTCCTCATGCCCCACCAGCTATTGTGTGACCCTTACCTATTCTACCTTCCTGAGGCAAGGCCAGAGCCCAACCTGAACCAGGACCCCCTTTGCTGCCTGGCCCCCCTCCATCTGCCTGAGTGGCCTCACACAGCCCTCTGAGAACTCCCCTGCTCAGAAGAATGGGGGTAGGGGGTTGGGGAACAGAGCAATGAGAAGAGGTGGCCTGAGAGGCTGGGGTTTTTCCCATGATGTGATGATTTATTTATAAGCTTCATTAGTGCTTTTATTCTGTAGAACTCCTCACACAAACAACCTTCAAGACAGACATTTCTCTATCACTCTCTTAGAAAATTAGAGTAAGGGAGAACAATGGGGGAGAGAACAAGCAGAGAATACTGGACGGCATGTAATGCTGCCTTACATTGGAGTAAGGCTTTATAGCACTTTCCCAAGGATGGCTGGTCCTGGGCTGGATTAGCCAGCAGATGTATTTTCTTTTTTTTTTTTTTTTTTGACCATAGAATGTTCTAAAAATCAAGAAATAACACATGCAAATAGATTTCCTGCTTTTGTTTAAAAGAAATTGGAGGCTCTAGCAGTGGACCTGCATTCTCACATGCCTGCAGGCAGCTGGAGCTGAACAATGCCTGTCCCCTTTAGAAGGGTCTTCTTTCTTCTGTATAGTTGGGTCTCCACCATTTCCAATCGCATCCCATCTGCTCATAGTCGTTACCTGCCTGGGCCTGCAGGCATCTGTTTGCAGCCTGTGCATTATCCCATGTACTGGTGCCAGGATTCATCATTATGGTTCAGGCTCTGCAGAGGACATGAACAATTGGCGCCCAGGTAGAGCCAATTTGCTTTTTATTGGACTTTCCTCACAGCTCTGACACGAGGCTCTCTCGTGACACTTAAGAGATAAGTAGTTGGGGGTGAAGAACAGGAATGATGAAAGATAAGCAAACAGATTGAGGAGTGTGGGGTAAGAAGGTGCTGCACATGATGTTTGTTTCAGGACTTGGGTAAGGAAGTCATTGACCCCATAAATGGAAGTGGCGTGAAAGGAATGGCACTGTTTCAGTGCCACAGGTATACATGCATTAAATACATAACCTTGACAAGGACCTTAATTTCTTTGAGCCCCAGTTAGTGCATCTGTTAAATGTGAATCAGACATCAAGTGAACTTGTAGGGACTATAAGTAAAATGTGTGACACATCTCACAGAGAGTAGGTACCCAATAAGTGAAAGCTAAGTTGCTTCACAATCTCTTAGGAATAAAATGGGGTATGAAATGGAAAGGCAAGGTAGCAGGTATTATTCTTGTTAATGAGTATCCAGTGTTGCTAATTGGGAGGGGTTGACCTGGAGACATGAGGCATTCTGAATCTGAGGGTGCCCACACATCCTCTGCCGCCACATTTCCCCACCTGTCTTCCATTCTTGGGTGTGTTTAATATCCCTTGTGACTGTTTCTGGGCTCAGGGTCTGTTTGCTCTTTCTTAGCCATCGGAGCTAGCAGGCCTGACTGGAGGGAGTTGGATGATCAACTGATGAAACAGGCCATGCTGTATGTGGATTCCCGGGAGGCGGCCCTCAGAGAATCTGGAGACATCCTCCTGTCTGGGGTGAGCCTCCTCTACCATGGCTGCTTCTCAAGTGGCCTTGCAGGGGTCCCAGGCTTACATTAACTTCCCCTTCTCTTGGCCTGCTCCACACCTCAGTCACCCCCAACTCTTTGTGGGGTGAGAGAGTGTAAATATCTCAATCATTTCTAATCCCCTTTCAGAATAATGTAGCCATTTTGCTGGTGACATGTGTGTTTGTTTGTTTTTTTAATCCCCTTTTCTTGTAGAGAAAGGCTTGCTGGACTTTCCCATTGGACTGGGCCATCCTATAAAGCAGTAGGATTAGGAGATGGGGGCCTGTTGCAGCCAGGAAACCTTCCCAACATGGCCAACAAAATAGCACTATAGTTGGGCACCTTTTGATCTTTTTTTCTGTTTTGTAATCAGAGCATGTAAGCCAGAAGAGGACTGCCACAATGAGTGATAAGATAAGAACATGCCTATTTCCTACTTACACAGAGTCCTGGCAGGACATTCCCTGGCCACAGACTTGTATCTTTGCATTCACAGCATCACAAAGGCAGATGGTACCCAAAATGAATTCTAGGAGGAAGCATCCTCATGACGTCATCCAGTTTACAAATGGTCTGTTTATCAAATTTATCTCTTACCCAGTTCAAGGATGCCCTCCTGTCCTGGCTATATAAGCTGGAGCAGACATGAGCTCCATGTCCTGCGCCCACATGTGTTCATTTAACAGGCCACGATCTTCGCTGAGCTGGGAGAAGTGGTAAAGGCAACGAAGCCAGCCCACTGTGAGAAGACCACAGTGTTCAAGTCTTTGGGTAAGGGCCATTTGTCCTGGGGCACAAATCTAACTAGGGCACAAGGCAGGTTTTTGTCAATTGGTGGGAGGAGGGATGAGTCACCAGTTTCCATGGCTGACTCAATGTGAAATCTATAATTTGGGCCAGCTATTTACATGTGTTAATGTAGTGGTTAGGCCCATGAACTCTGGATTCAGGTAGTCCTGGGCTGGATTCTCTTCTCTGCCAGTCCTTGGACATACATCCTTGGGCAAGTGACCTAACATCTCTAAGCCACTGTTTCTTTACCATCTGTTGAATTTTTGTGACTATTAAGTGACATGTGTGTGTAAAATGATTTGCACCCAGCAAGCATCAGCAGTCTGTCATTTAGACATAGATCTAAATGAAGCTACCCTCCAAATGTGGGTGATGAAGCACAAAAATGTTAAAATATGGAGAGCTTAAGGGAACTGTCAGGGAGACCTAACGTGAGAGAGATAAGAAGTACAGCCTATGACTGCTTTTTGCCCTTCTTCACCATCCTCCCACTTGCTGGTATGAGCAGAGCTTCCCCAGGGAGCCCCAGTACCACCCAAGCTGGTACAGGCAGAAGTCCAACAGAGGATGGGCCCAGTTTTCCCATCAGCCCAGCCTCTCACTGCACCAGATTTAAGGAAATGGACATACATGGAAACAGAGATGGTATTTAGCAGATATACCTAAAATATTGAAATATTCCCAAACTGGTTGTAAACAAGTGGCTGCCCCTCAAGAATGCCCTCTATCCCTCTCTATAGATCTTCCATATTTCATGTGATCAAGCCCCAAAGCCTCAATGCTCAGCGGAACATGAAGAATGCTCTTGCCATGTGCACTCATGCCAATGGGTCATTACTGGTGCCTTGCTAGATGGCAAATATTTTTAAAACCTCTCATGCACAGGAAGACAGGCGAAGGCAGTATAAGCTTTACCCAGATCCTGGTTCAAAGACATCACACTGATCCAGTTGTGTCTGAAAGTCTTTGAGTTCATAGCAGATCAGAGGTCAGCAAACCCATTCAGTAAACAGAATACTACAGAAATCTGCTCTAAACTCTTGTGCAATTTTTGTTTTCTCACTTTTGGGATTGATTTATTGGTACATCCTTTCATCTAGCAGATGCATATTTAACACATATTATGTGTCAAGCTCCATACTGGGTGCAGTGGTGGCTACAAAAATTAGTAAAAACCAGTCCTTGCCCTTGAAGGACCTATACCCATTCGAGGTTAAGGTTATGTACCCAAAAAAACAAGACAAAGTGGGGTTGCTGAAGGGTTCAGGATTTGGACTGGAACAGGAGTCAGCAAGCTACAGCCTGTGGACCAAACCTGGCCCACCACTTACTTTTGTACAACCTGCAAACTAGTAATAGTTTTTACATTTTCAAATGGTGGGGGCAGTGGGGAGAAGAACAGGATTTTGTGACACATGAGCATTATATGAAATTCAAACTTTGGTGTCTGTAAAGAAGTCTGATTGGAACACAGTTCATTTGTTTGTGTATTGTTCATGCTGCTTCTGCACTAACTACAATGGCTGAGTTGAGTAATTGCAACACATACCATATGGCCCCCAAAACCTAAAATATTTACCATCTGGCCCTTCACTGAAAGTTTTCTGACCCCTAAACTAAACTTTCAGTGATGCTCACAATTTGTTTGGTGAGCATTTCTGGCTTCATATCGTATTCCCTGCCCTGCCCTTCGCAGATGTTCTAAGCCCTAATTTACCTAGGTATCAGTCTTTGTTACCCTGATGGGCGTTAGCACCATGGTTAGTGCATCTAGACTCCCAGTCCCAGGGCTGTTTCAGGAAAAGTTGTTCTGACAAAAAGTGAACCAAATTTCTGTCCATTCCAGGAATGGCGGTGGAAGACACGGTTGCAGCCAAATTAGTGTATGATTCCTGGTCATCTGGTAAATAAAATGAAGCAATGTTTTGTTGAGGTGGATGCTGCAGCTCAAGAGGTGTTGCCTCCAATTGTCTCATAATTTCTAGATCAAATGATGGAACCCAGTGCCCAGTGAGCTATAGTTTTGTGCTCATGATGTCTTATCTTAAATAATGAGATCTCCATTTGTGTTTATAGTTAGCGAAATTAGGTGGCCATCCCTCCTGCTATGCCACATTACAGCAGTACTCCCTTTTCCAGGTATTTCACTAGCTTTTGTAATTCCTGGAAATAAAGCAATTTTCCACTTCTGAAGTTCTTGCTTTGATTACTTCTATCCCTCATAGTAAGGAAAGCAAGGGGATCATGTGTTCCCATTCACTCCTTGAGGGAGCTCCAATGACTATAATTAATTTTTTTCTATTTTTTAAATTGAGGTACAATTTATATATCATAAAATACACCAGTTTAAAGTGTATGGTTCAATGGATTTTAGTATATTCACAGAGTTGTGCAACCATCACCACTGTTTAGTTCCAGAACATTTTCATCACCCCCAAAAGAAGCTCCATACCCATTATCGGCCACCCCTCATTCCTCCTTCTTCTCAGCCCCTGGCAACTATTAGTGTACTTTCTATCTTTATGTATTTGCCTCTGCTGGATATCTCATATAAGTGCAAGTATACATTATGTAGGCTTTTGTTTTTCAGTCTTTAGAATTAAAGTTTCAGGGAATAATTGGGCTTCCATATTGGTCAGGGCTCATTTGGTCACAAGTGGTAGAGACCACAGCTCAACCTATCTTTAGCTGAGTGAGTCAGTGAGTGAGGAGTAGAACGATTGATTCTTGTCTGTAAGAAGCACCAAATGGTTTCAGCTTCAGCAGCATCCAAGGGCTCCAAGTGTTATCAGGACTCAGTCTTGCTGTCTCCACTCTCAGCTCAATTCTTGTCAGTTTTGGCTTCCTGATCAAGCAAGTTTTCCCCTGGTAGGGGCAGGATGGCTGCCAGCAGCTCCTGAATCATAGTCTATCATCCCCAGCAACCCCAGCAGAAATAGGGATTCTTCTCCTTATCAGTTAAAAGTCCCAGAACTGAAACTCACTGGACCACCTGGATCACATGCCCAACCCTGTGCCTAACATGGTGGTGATAAGAGATGGAATACTGTGGCTTACCTTATATAAGGCAGGACTTGCTTCTCTGATAGTGAAGTGGAAACCAGAGAATTCCCAAGAGCGGGAACCCTTTACTTGGCCTCATTTGCTCCCTGACATCTAAGACCCAAGCTAATTCTGACTGTTTTGTTAATACATTTTGAACCAATCTTTGTGATAATCACAGATATAGTATCTACCCGTTAATTGGGACAAAAGGAGTTGTTGAGGGAATGGTAGATAAGCCTATGTAGTCTACAAGCTGAAATATCTTAATTAAAATAAAATGCAACTATTCAAAAACATACAACTTAACCTTACTATAACCTGTCCTGGCCTCATAGAGGTTTATGTTATTCACTGTGATAAAGGGGTTGTATTTGCTCCCTTCTTTTTAACCCAGCAATTTGATGGAGTTTTTGTGTGAGGTTTTTAAATCTACATGTCCTTCAAATTTATACCGCTTTATTTCATCACAGAATGGACACAAAGGCAAAGGGGATGGTTGTGGTGAGAACTTTCAGTTCTGCTGGCAAACATACCTTCCCCTTCCCATATTTTCTGAGCCAATTGCTACCCCTCTCCCTCCAGTAGAGCAGCATGGAAAATTACCTCTAGAAATGATCAACTCCGTAAAGCAATTAGAACTAAATCCTACCAAGACTGACTTCCAGTAACATTTCTACTGGCCTGCCTTTTTTTGTTCTCTCAAAGCGCACCTCTGCATTTGTATTACACTATATTTTATCCTTCAAGTAGCAATGTGGGTTTCCATCTCAAAATTCTTTGTACCACCTCACACTGTCTCTTGTTTGCTAGAATACATCACCAGACTTTCTATATTCCTTTTACTTCTGACAGTGATACAAAACTATTGGAAAGCACCCTTTTTGTTAACACGAGTACTTCCCTAGCGGCTTCTGCTTCCCCTATATCTTGGCAACAAGTGTCTCATCAGGCAGATCCTGAGGAATACCTGGAGAGAGGATCCTGGCACCTACAGTAATAAAGTCCTAATAGAGGCAGGCTCAGATGCTACAAATTTTTTGAGGGCTTCTATGTGACCGCTGCTTTTGTGCACTTTATGCAAAGAAAATACAACTTTGGTTTATCCCAGACCAACCTTAGTGCAACGTATTTATTTGAAGACTGACAACCTCTCTGAATCCATGCATTGTGGGAGAATGAGCCAATTGCTCATCAGATATCAGCACTTGTATCCTCCCTAGGCTTATGTCCTCTGTGGTGCTTCCTGAAATAACACAAGCAGATGTGAGTTAGGAAGCATCCTGAAGAAACAACTGTTTCTATTTTATACACAAAATTGTGTATATTTCACTTGATGTAAGTCTGGCTGTAATAATCCAATGAAACTTAACTATTCAGTATGGTTTCAATTTGAATTTGACATTGCCACTCAAAAAATGTGAGCAGCAATGTTGCAAATTTATATTATAGGATCTACATGAATTTAGACATAGCAATGGTGATAGACAACAATAAATAAAAGATAAGCACATAATGAGCATGAAAATGTAAAATTTACTTTTATAATCACATTTTTCCTACAAAGAATCTAGATTTTTTTTTCTTTTTTTAAAGTTTGAGGAGTTACTTACCCTTAGAAAAATCATCAAATATGCCAGACTTTTTTTTCCCATGTATTTTTCTTCTCCTCTACCCTCTTGCTTAGACACTATATTAGTCTGCTCATGCTGCCATAACAAACTACCACAGACTCTGTGAATTGAACAATAGATGTTTATTTTGTTACAATTCTGAAGGCTGGAAGTTCAAGATGAAGGTGTTGACAGGTCTGGTTTCTCCTGAGGTCTCTCACCTGGGCATGAAGGTGGCCATCCCCTTGCTGTGTCCTCACATGGCCTTTTCTCTGTGCATGTGCATCCCTGGTGTCTCTTCCTCTTCAAGGACAAGAGTTATATGGGATTAGGGCCCCACCCATATGACCCCATCTAACTTCAGTCACCTCATTAATAAAGGTCTTATCTCCAAATTCCAGTCATATTGGGGATAGGGCTTTGGTATATGAATTTGGGGGAAACAATTCAGTCCATAGCAGGTACCCTATATTCTATTTCTCTCTTCAGTCTCCCTACCTGATACTCTGTCTGTTCTCAGGTAGGAGTATTGTAGGCCCATTTTCATTACTTGTAAACCTGTAGACATATGTTAAAGGTTCAGACACAGTTAGGTTGGGTATCACATCTTAGGCCAATGGAGGAACTTTAATCTTCACCAACAAAGTCTAGAGCTAAGGACAGAATTGGAGTTGGAATCCCCCGGCCATGAGAATCAGTAAATGAAAAGCAGTGTGATGAGAGATTATAATCTTACATCCAGAGTTGGAAAAGTAAAGAGAGTTTTTCTTCTTCTTTCTCACCCATTTAAGTCTTTCCATATTTAAAAATATTAAAAATATAATTGAAGAGAAATACCAATTTTTGTTCCCAGGTCTCCTTGAGTTTCTCACTGGTGGTTTATTTGTAAAGGTATAGAGAATTTCACAGAGTAGAGCTTGGGCCTATTTTTCAGGTGGGCAATTCCAAAACCTCAGACATCATACCCAGTGGTTGGGCATTCAGTAGAGAGCAGATATTGCCTGGAGTGCTTCAGTGGACCACAGCATCACCCCATGCTGTAGGCACACCCCGTTGAGCCAACACTCCATCACAAGCTGGTGTCACCCATTTTCCCAGGCTGCTGGAGCACTTGCTTCCTTCTGTTTATGGCATTAAGAACTTTCTTCCTGGGACCCAGCTGCATTTGAATGCTCTGAAGGTCCTCATCAGAGCAAAGCAACAGAGCTTCTAGATCAATCTGCTCTCTCATGAAAAAGGAAAGAAACTTTTCCAGGTGGTGGGACTGTAAGAATACTTCCAGGGGTGTAGCATCAGCCACATCTTCCTCCCACTCCATTGCATCCTCATCCCAAGGGAGATCATCTTCCAAGCTGTTTTCTTCTCCCTCCTCATCAGCCGCTGCTTCATTAGCCTGTGCTTCTCCTCGACTCTGAAGCAATTCACTGGACATTTTAAACCCTAACTCCTTCTTGGTATCTGAGATGTCTTCAGGGCTTGATATTTCGTTCCTTCTAAAAACAATATTTCCTAGACCTGGACGGCTGAGAATGGATTCGTGCTGCACATAGCTACCCTCTGCTGAAACCTGGAGCTTCTCTCTGAAGTCCCCTGAGAATGTGTCTTCTTCTTCCTCTCTGAACACTTCCATCACATTCCTCTGCTCATTCCTGCACTCCTCTACCTGCTCTGCTGTATCTTTATTCTTCTTGAACTTTATTTTGAAGGTGCCTTTAATGCCCTTAGACAGTGACCCAAATGTGCTAGAAGCAGAAGCATTTGAAAGGGATGATCTGGAAAAAGTGCTCTTAGAAGAAAAATTACCAGATTCTTCCTTTCTGAAGGTGCGGGACATCTTATTTTCATGCTTCTCCTGAAGCCTTTCACACTCTTTGATCTGCCTCCTTGCATTCTTCTGAGCCTGCTCCTTCAGCCTAGTGACCTTCTTGGGGTTCATGATGTTCTGTGCAGTAGCTGCATTATCCAAGAGAGAAACACATTCATTCTGCTCTCTGCTGGCAGCAGCATCCAGTGGTGACTGTAAGTCATTGTCCAAGGCAAAGATGTTGGCACCAAAGTTGATTAGGAATGAGACGCAGTGGGCATGACCATTAGAGGCTGCATAATGTAGAGGAGTATTTCCCCAGATGTCACATCTGTCAGGGTCCCCTCTAGAAGAGAAAATATCAAAAATACATGCCAATTTTTTTTTCTGAACAGAAGGCCCCCAAAATTAAAAATAACAAAATGCATATTAATCCTGCCTTTGCGTTGTTAGAAGAGAACTTCTGAAAGTCCAGATATGTCATATCCAAACATCACATGATCAAAAGCAGAAAGAGCCCATCTCCACTCTGGGTGTTATTTTTTAAAGCAGGAAAAGGTTTCTAAAACAGTCCCTCAAAAGACAACTTCATGTCTCATTGGCCAGAATTGGGTCACATGCCTAATGAGAAGGGAACAGAGCTACCATGTTTAACTCAGATTAATTAAAATTTCTGGACTTCTGGTCAAGATGGTGGCATAGGAAGACATGGCTTGCCTCTTTGTACAACCACATCAAAATTACAACCAAAATATAGAACAACCATCACTCAGAACCATCAGAAATCAAGTTGAATGGAAGTTTGACAACCATGGAATTAAAGAAACCACATTCATCAAAAACGGTAGGAGGGGTGCAGACACAGAACAAGCTGATCTCTCACCCATGTGTGGTGGATAAAAATTTGGGAGGGATATCTCAGGAGCAAGGAGTACCAGCCCCACACCAGCGGTCCCGCCAACCCAGGGTTCCAGTGCCAGGAAGATAAGTCTGCATAACTTATGGATGCAAACATCAGTGGGTATTGAGCCAGTGAAAGAAACTTCTGGAACCCCAAGCAGTTCATCTTAAAGGGCCCGCACACAGGACAAAACTCACCTTCTCAGACTCACTCCCTCTCAGCTCCAGCACCAAAGTAGCAACTAGAATGCATCAGTGGCATACAGGGAGGAGCTAAAATATCTAGCATCAAGTCAAGCAGAAGCCATTATCCCTTTTCTAAAATCCTCCCCCCACAGAGTTGGCAAGCTGGTGCTGTATATGAGACTCCATCAGCCTGGCTAACACTATTTGACCTGCCTTTGAGATCCCCAGAGACTCTGCCCCACCCAATTTATGGGCCCACCCAGGCTGCTTTCCCATATGAATAGCTGGTCTTGGCTCATATTTTACACCTTCCTAAGTCCTAAAAAACAAGCAATATGTAGCCTCAATGAGCCCCAGGCATGACACTAACAGCACCCAGCTTAGATTCACAGCTGTTTCACCTGGGAATCTCCAAGCCCAGCACAATTAGTAGCCACCTCAGATTGCTTTATAGCTTAAGCAGGGTGGCCCTGGGCAAAACACAGGTGGGGGGTACTGACTTTGGCCTGCACCATCTGGGAAACCCCATGGCCAGCACACACAGTGGACAGCTACAGACCACATTGGAGCACTACCACTCTTCCCCTGCACAGCTCATCCTCCAAAAAGGGTCGAGGTTGGTGGTTACTAGTCACAGCTGGTCCTTGCAGCTGACTGCCCTGGGTAAATCCCTCCCATTTATCTGCCAACAGCAACCATGACTCAACATCAAGAGGAGGGTATATTCAACCCACATAAAGGGTGCACCTTGATAGAGGAAGCTGTGCTACTTGACCCTATAGGATACCTATTACATTAGGCCATGCTACCAAGACACAGAGTCAAAACAGCTCAACCTAATACATAGAAACAAACACAGGGAGGCTACTAAAATGAGGAGACAAAGAAACAGCACAAATGAAAGAATGGAACAAAATTCCAGAAAACGGAGAATCAAGATGGTGGAGGAGTGGGTCACAAGGACCTCTTCCCAGGACCAATCTGGAATTACAACTAAATTGTGGAGAAACAACCTGGAACAAACAACTGAACAACAGTGAGACAGAAGACTTACAACCTTGGACAGACAGAAGAATCAACTTCAGCACAACCTAACGGGTAAGGAGTGCAGTAGAGATTTGAGAAGGCAGGCAGGGCGCCCATGGATGGCAGCACCAGAAGGATATTGAAATGGCCAGTTGGACACCCTGAGAAGAGCGGGGTCTACACCATAAGCAGAGATCTCCAGCCTACAGCACCAGAGCCTAAAAAGTACATATATAAGAGCCAGCTATGAAAAGCGGCAGGGTTGCTCTCTGACAGAGACAAGCGGCTGGAGAGGCAAAGAGCTGTTTAAAGGGCCAAGACATAAATTTTTATTTGCAGCCACTTACCCTGGTCACTGGCAAGATTGGGGGCAGAGTGGGCTACAGACACCTGAGGAGAGACTGGGGAAGGAGGCTTTGGGGAGAGGACCTAGAGAGTAGCTGGTGGGATTCCAGTGGTGACTAATCCCTCATATGGCTGCAGCCATCCTGCTCAGGCAGACCACTCCCCTGAGCGGCAACAGTCTGAGAGGACACAGTAGCCCCACCACCAGTAGGGACTCAGCCCTAGCCCAATAGTGCTAAAGCCTGACTGCTGACTACAAAGTAGCAGCAACAGATAGTAGATCCCCAGCTAAAGGGGACACAGAGTGGTCTAGAGATACTTGAGGAGAGACTGGAGATCAAGGCTTAGAAGAGAAAACAGAGAGAGTGGCCAGCGAGAGCCTGGTGCTGACTCCTCCTCATACAGCAGCAGCCATCTGGTTCAGGCAGACCACTCCCTTGAATGGCAGCAACACGTGAGGACCCAATAACCCCACCCCCAGGAGGGACTCTGCCCTGCCCTGTGGTGTCTAAGCCTGACTGCTGAGTGCACAGTGACTAAATTAACAACTGAAGGAGACAGCCACAGACAGTACATTCATGGAAGTCTCCAACAGACTCCCTAAATTCAGACAGGGATGACATATGACATCATCAGAGGCAGACCCAAAAAGAAAAAAAAAACCCAGCAGACTCCTGCCATAGAAGTTCACACCACAAAGTCAGGAAATCTAGACAGATCAACTTAAGAAGCAGAAGCAAAAAAGAAGAGCATCATATATAATAGGAAGACAAAGAAACACACCCCAGTCAAAGGGAAAGGAGGAATCCCCACAAAGAAAACAAAATGAAATAGAGGCAAGTCAACTATCAGATACTGAGTTCAAAACAATGGTTCTAAGGAAGCTCAATGAGCTCAGTGAACTCAGAGAGAATTACCAAAAACTACAGGGAAACTATGAGGAACTTAGTGCAAACTATATCAGCATGAAAAAGGACATAGAAACTATCAAGAGACAAGAGGAAATGAAGAATACAATTTCTGAATTGAAGAACACAGTAGAAGGAATCAAAAGCAGGCTAGATGAAGCAGAGGAACAAATCAGTGAGCTGGAGGATAAGGTAGAAAAAAAGGCTCCCAGAAAGAGCAAGAAAAAGAAAAAGACTCAAAAAGAATGAAGAGGTGGTGAGGGAAAGAATGAAGAGGCGTTAAGGGATTCTAGGGATACCAGAAGGAGAAGAAGAGGAACAAGGGATAGAGAACCTGTTTGAAAAAGTAATGATGGAAAACATCCTTAATTTGAGGAAAGAAAAAGTCACAAAAGTCCAGGAAGCAAAGAGGGTCCCATTCAAGAGGGACCCAATGAGGCTTACTCCAAGATACACCATTACTAAAATGGCAAATATCAAAGACAAACAGAGAATCCTAAAGGCAGCAAAGGAGAAACAGATAATAACACATAAGGGAGCCCCAGTACGGCTAGCAGCTGACTCCTCAGCAGAAACACTACTAGCCAGAAGTCATGAAAAGCAAAGGCCTGCAACCAAGACTGCTCTACCCACCAAGGCTCTCAATTAAAATGGAAGGCAAAATAAGGAGTTTCCCAGACAAAAGAAGGCTAAAAGTGTACACCTCTACCAAACAGCATTGCAAGATATGCTAAAAGGACTGCTTTAAGAAGATGAAGAAAAAGAGTCTATGAATAGCCAGCTCCTTTCAGAGTTACTAATACTTGATATAACCAATATTTAATACTTATTAATCTGATTGTGACAATGATGTGTTATTTTAACTGTTCCTTTATTATTTGTTGAAACTAAACCTGTGTTTGTATATTTCTTGCCTATTTCTATTTTTTTTAAAAAAAAGCTTTAAATGACTTTTTGGAATTCTTTATCCATTTTTTGATTAAAGGTTTGTAGAATTTTTTCCCTAAAAAAACCCAAAAAAACTATCAACCCTTTTTTACATGTGTTGCAGATACTACCCTATTCTATTACTGTCCTTTAACTTTTTTTATATGTATATTACTATATAGTCTTAAATGTTTAATGTAGTCATATTGTCAATATTTTACTTTATAGTTTCTGGGTTTGAATACTTTATTTCAGGGTAAGAAAAATATTATATTTTATTCTCTCCTAAAACTCCTTAGGTTTTACAGATTTATTTTTAACTCACCTGAATATTTAGTGTATAACATGTAAAATAGGGCTCTATGTTTTTTTATTTCAAGTAATAGTGGTCCATGCACCTTATGTGTTGAATAATGTGTTGAATAAGCCTCATTTTCCCCATTGATGTGAAATATCCATTTAATCATATATTACATTGTTAGACAGATTTTGTTTCTAGAATGCTCATTTTATTTCATTGATCTACTTGATTATTTCTGTGCTGGTGTCATGTTGATTTAATTGCTAAGACTTTATAATGGATTTAATTTTTTAATATTTTATAATGGATTTTGACATTTAAAAAATAAATAAAATCAGTCTGTATTTAAAAAAAAAAAAAAGAAAGATGGAACCTTTTGTGACAGCATGGATGGAACTGGGGAATATTATGCTAAGTGAAATAAGCCAGTTGGTGAAAGGCAAATACCATATGATCTCAGCTGTAAGTGGAATCTATTCAACAAAATAAGCTAATGAACAAAATAAACGACAGGCACGGAAACATGGAGCAGACTGAAACTGACCAGAGGGGGTGGGCAAAGAGAACAATGGTGGAAAGAAGGAGAAGGGACTAGACAAAGAACATGTATGAATGACCTGTGGACATGGACAACAGTGTGAGAATTGACTGTGGATGCGGGGGTCAGGATGGGATTGGTGGAGGAAGGCAAAGGGGGAAAATTGAGACAACTGTAATAGAATAAACATGATTCAAAAAAAATTTAATGTCAGA